AGAATAAATGATGGATGATGAAACATGCAAGTAATTTGTCCAATTTAAAAAAAAAAAATAGTTTACATAATGGAAACAAAAATGGTAGTATTAAAATAAAGTGTGTCGTAAGAAAAATAATGTAACCAAATTAACATAAAATTTTGTCGGTTAAAAGCGATTTTAACACCTTGTAAAATTTAAAAAAATCAAGTACGTGGAATTTTACTTTCGTGACCAAAATTTAATTTGAACTATTAGGAAGTGTCATAGCGACATAATAATATAACCCAAATTATATTTGAGTCCTATAAGAAAATTTTATTTAAAACGAAACAAAACACATTTTTTTTTCCCGGTCGCTACAACACAATATGGAAACTCTATATCTCATTGCCTAATATATGTGATTTCTCACTAATTTACTTCCTTAACACTCCCCATTAAGTTGGCGCATATATATCATATAAGCCCAACTTGGAACAAATAAATCTCAATTGATTAGCGTTTACTTTAGCGTCTTTGTAAACATATCAACAAGCTGGTTGATAGAGCCTAATAAAGACTGGCTCTAGAATGTTCACTAGTTAGTTAGTAGGAGGGATAAAAATGTAATAGACTATAGTAAGGGATTGCCTATAAATAGAAGGGAAAAGAACGGGAAAGGTGTGTAAGTCACCATGAAGGAATGCATTCTTAAGACTGGCTCTAGAATGTTCACTAGTTAGTTAGTAGGAGGGATAAAAATGTAATAGACTATAGTAAGGGATTGCCTATAAATAGAAGGGAAAAGAACGGGAAAGGTGTGTAAGTCACCATCAAGGAATGCATTCTTAATGTCCATCTGAAATAGTTGCCAACCAAGATTAGCAGCAACAGAAATCAAAACACGAATAGAAAAGATCTTAGCAATGGGAGAAAACATCTCATCATAATCAATACCATAGGTTTGTGTATAACATTTAGCAACCAATCGGGCTTTCAATCGATCAATCGTTCCATTGGAATTGAATTTTGGAACATAGACCCTCTGTTACCAGCATGATGTATACTAGGTGGTGAAGGAACAAGTTCCGAAGTCCTATTCTCATGCAAGGCTACCATTTTCAATTCCATAGCCTTTCTTCACTAAGGATGAGATAAAGCTTTTGTCACTGTTTTGAGTACAAAACATTAAAAAGCTAGGATGTGAAATAGGAAAACAAAAGAAAAAACGAATAAAAAGTAACATAATGGCTTATAGGAAGATTAGTTACACAAGTACGTTTATTTTTACGGAGAGCAATGGGTAATGATTCAATATCAGAAGAGATGACAGATGCAGGATCTATAGATGGTAAGGTGACAGATGGGGACACAGATGTTGGTGGCTTAGTTCGTCAAGTATAAACTATTGAAGGAGGTTGTTCCTTATGAGAGGAGAATAACTCTGGTGTAGTAGATGGAGATAAATCTGGTCCAGAAGAAATAAGAATAGGTAGATATGGAACGGGAAAGCTAACGGGATCTCGAGTGGATTTTGGTGATGTACTAGGATTAGAAAAAATAGGGTGTGGATAAGGGTGTCAACAAGCCAAGCCAGCTCGTAAGCCGAAACTCGAAGGTATAGGTCGACTCGAGTTTTTGAAGTCAGGTTTTTTTTTTTGCCCTAGTCGAGCCGAGTAAAAGCACTCCAAAAAGTCGAGGATCGACCAGAGCTTTTGGTTGGGCCTTACGGAGCTGGGCCAAGTCGAGCCGTCTCGATTTTTTTTATAAATAGCTGCCAGTTAAGCCTTAAACAACATCTTTATAGCTGCTTTCAAATTATATATATATTTTTTTTGCTTTTTTTATTTATTTAACTAGCCGGCTCGAGCCAAAATGGCTCGTGGCGCGGGCAGGCCCGAGCTTGAGGTGAATTCCCGAAGTGGCGCTCGGCTCGAGCTTTGGCTTAGTGCCTCCAAACCACAAGTCGGGTTGGCTCGGGCTTTTCCTAGGCCAAACCGTCGGTCGCCCGAGTCAATGAGCCAAATTTACATCCCTAGGTGTGGACTCGTCAAAAGTGATATCTGTACTTACAAAATAGCAGTGTAGAGAATGATTGTCATGATCAGGACCGAAGCAATGAACATAACAAACACACCCAAAAACCTAAAAGGGTAATGAGTACTGTGAAGAGGAGCAAAATACAATAGAAAAAGCGGATGCACCGCACATAACAGAAGACGACATGCAACTAATGAGATAGCATGCTGTGAGGACAGCATCACTCCAAAACCGATTAAGGACATGTATATGACGAAGAAGAGAACACAAATGACGATTTTTGCATTTTGCAACTCCATTTTCTATGAAATATATGCGCAAGATGTTTGATTAATAATTACTTTGGAAGAGAGATATGACATAAAAGAAGTAGACTTATATTCTTTGGCATTATTAGACAACAAAATACTGATTTTCTAGTTAAATTGGGTTTTGATCATAGTACGAAAGATTTGAAATATAGAAAGTAATTCAAAACGATTTTTTGTTAAGAATAACCAAGTCATGCGAGAATAATCATCCACAAAAGTAATAAAATACTAAAATTTATTAGATAAAACATTGATTTGTCCCCAAACATCAGAGTAAACTAATTCAAACAAACAAGTAACAAGACTACAAGTTTTTAATTTTAAAGGAAAAGACACACAGTCATGCTTGCTAAGTTGACAAGTTTCACACTCAAGGAAGGGCACATTACGAAGACTAAAAACTTGACATTTCAAAGTGGAAAGAGAAGGACGACCAAGACTACAATGTTACTGCATGGATGAAACAGAAGACTGGAGATCGAAAGAATGAGAGAGTTGTGAAAGATCTAAGTAAAACAAGCCACCAACTTCATGCCCCATACCAATCATCCTCTTCATTTTGAGATCCTGAAAAACACACACCGAAGGATAAAATGTTATAAAACATTAAAGAGTTGAGGTGATTTTAATAATAGACAACAAACTAAAGGGAAAGCCAGGAACATGAAGGACAGTCGACAAATCAATAGTCGGACTAAGGTGGGCATTTTTCGAGCCTGCAACACTAGTTCGGGAACCGTTAGCAAGAATGACACATTTGGAGGATGTAACAGGATGATAATCAATAAGAGAAGTGGACGAACTAGTCATGCCTTCAGTTGCTCCGGAATCGATGATCCATAGATTATGAGAGGATGACGAGATAGTGGGAAGCTGTGGTTCCTAACTGTGCAAGAGTGGCCATTGAAGTGGAAGTGGCCTACTTATGAACTAAGAACATAGCATACTCATCTCATGGTACAATCATGAAATTAAACTTTGATGTTGAACAAGAGTTATTCACTGGTGTAGATATTGATTGATGGTCCTCGTTACATGAGACTTGATTTATAGAACCAGATGTCTTACCATGTTAATCCCAACAAAATTCAAAAAAATTCAATGGAGTGACCAATACGACCACAATGAGTACATTTTCGAGGTTTACGATTTCCCGAACGACTACTACCTCTAGTGTCTCGTCCACCTCGAGAGCAAAACCACCTTTGTCATGTCCACTTCGACCGCCACGTCTACCTTAGGATGAGCCTACTTTAGCAATAAAAGCAGAACGATCGCTAGGACTACATCCAATAGGGTGGAGCACTGAATATGAGGAAATGCCTCCACAAGACTAGGAAGCTCTTTTCCACCCAATATCTGTGCCCGAACTGCTTCAAACTCTAACGGAAGACCAATAAGAAATTTAATCACGTCAATGTCTTCCCGTTGTTTTTCCATAACCTTCAAATCAAGAAAAAGAGGTTGATGCACATTTCTCTCCTAACATATAGCCAAAAACTTATTATAATATTCACCGAGGCTGGAGGAGCCCTTCTCAAGCCCAAAGTATTGTTTACATGTCCCATATATTCAAGTAACATTTTCAATTCTAGGATTTATATGTTTGAGATGCTCCTAGATTTGCTTAGCAGTAGACATATAAAGGGCGGAAGACATGATATGAGGCTCAACACTTCCGATCATAAGACCAATGGTGGCATTATCCTCTTGATCCAACCGATCATTGAGAGTAGAATCAACCTTTGCATAGTCATTTTCTAAAGACTTAGCAAATGTTTTGTCTAAAATCAAATGGTTATATAAACCCTTACCTCGCAAAAATACCCACGTAGTCTAGTAAGTGTAATTTCTTACATTCAATTTTTCAAGTGCCATATAGGCCAGTTAGATTAAACATTTCCATCTTCGATAACATGATGCTAGTCACACTGATGAATCAAATAATAAGGTAACCACTATCCAAGATAAGTTGTCAACAAAATTCAGCCCAAGTCCACTAGAATAAAATAGAGCCTAAATCAGCCCAACACGCCTCCACGCACAACAGACTTCAACCCAAATAAGTCACTATTGCACGTTCATTGCATCAATTCCAATTGAAAGCAGGCGCTCACTCAGCCTTCAACAATCACCGACTAAAGAGAGCCCACTACCAGCAGTGCAAACAAACAGATGGCTAACCTCTGGACGCGCAAACACACAAAAATCTCACCACTGGCAATGAAGACACTATCGAACCACCAAAGAGAACCCACGTCTGGCCCCAGCACTGTCACTTAACCCCTGAAGACAACTTCAGACTCGACAGCGTTGCTTCAACAAATCAGAATTATTGAGTCCACTGGTCAATACACCACACAGCAGCTGTAGGACATACGGTCGTCGAGAAAGAGAAAGGAAAACAAAATTGAAGGTAGGATTTGAAGGAAGATGTGGCAGATAAGACAACCCAAACCTAGAGCTCTGATACCATGTTGAGAAACAGGTTTTGGTATTAACTGAGAGAATTTGTTCATTCTTCTCCTCTCTTCTATTTTTCAATATATAAACTAGAGTTAATATTGCAATTTATGGAAACTCAATATCACATTGCCTAATATACTTGATTCCTCACTAATTTACTTCCTTAACAAGTCACAAGTTATATATAACTTTCTTGAATTTCAACTGTTCATGGACCAGGAGGTAGTAGTTGAAGGAGAAGACAAGGTCTTCAAAGATGTTATTGAACCTCTAGAGAGTGTCAGTGTTAATTTGATCCCAACCAGCAAACAAGATATTCGTGATTTTGGTTCCCCACAGGAGGTTGGCAAAATGCTCATGGACAACAATGCATTTTGATATAACTTCTCTTACTACTCTTTGGGTTATGTATCTGTTTTGCTTTCTCGATTCTATTGCTTCTTGGTTGCAGGTTGCTCAAACCTTGATAAGAAAGGTCTTGGCTTCTCCATCACAAAAAACAAAGCTGATTCAAGCATCAGAGGTAAGAATTTTTTTGGTTTTCTTTGGTTAGAGTGTATAATTTGAGTAAGTAGTGGACTGTTTGACTGTAATTTGATAAATAAAAGGAGAACTTGGACATCTTTTGCTGCAAAAGAAATGTCAGCGGTTACTTGATTTTGATGTTTTATTCACTTAATTTTATCTTCCTCAAATGCTGCTATCAGTTTTTTGATGGGTTGGAAGATGAATGTATTGTTATTTGATGCCTTAATAGTTTACATCCCCACACTTCTCACCTTCAAACCTTGCCTCTGCCTCCACATTTTACCACCTGACAAACGCCTAAGAGCACGTGTGGACAAGCTTAAAAATAAGTTACTTTTTTTTTTTCCAAATATATTTGGTAATTATTTTTTTATTACTTATAATTTAAAAAAAAAATGTACTTTTTTTTTTTAGGTAATCTTACCTTAATGTCACAATAAGTAACTTATTTCCAAACTTAATCAATAAAAAGATCACTTGTTTTAAATCATACTTTGAGCATGTTTGGCAAAGCTTAATCTATAATTTAAGCTATTCAAACATACTTTTTATCATGACATTTCATGGGACAATATCACGTCTTATAAGCACTACCAAACAAGTACTTATTTACTTTTGAGTAATTCCTTAAATATTGTCAAACATGCTCTAAAGATAATTCCCCTGAGTGATAATATGGTAATTATCAGTGACAAAAGCTTATTGTATCAGTTAGTTTAACCTCCATAACCAAGCTACCGAGAAGCAGAAACTTTATTTTAGCCCCCTCCAAAATCTGTTCTATGTCTATTCATTATTAATAAAACAACATTACAACCTTTTGTTCGGAGGAACATTTGATTTCTTCTGGAACGACATTGCATCTGCAAAGCAAAGCAGACGTTAAGTTCATGTTTGATACAAAGGATTAGATAGAATATAATAGTACAATAAAACATATTATTTCTTTATTACTACTGTCGAGTAATGTCTAATTCTCATTATGGAACATGTTATGAGCGTGTCAAAAATTACTAAATCTACTGTCCATTTATTTCTTTATTACTACTGTCCAGTAGTATCTAATTCTCATTATGGAACATGTTATGAGCGTGTCAAAAATTACTAAATCTTCTGCCCAAGAATGGACATGCTTGCAAACACACGCATTCTCCCTAGTATTGTCATTTACAGTGCCTCGTAAATTCCTAAAATATGTGAGCATAAATTTGTGGTGTTCTCTTCATTAGTTAGTCTGCTGTTTGTTAGCTGTAGGATTACATTTCAAAATGCGAATTGCAATTCATCATATAAATTATCTATTCAAATTTCTTGTTGAGCACAGATTATTTACAAAGTATATTTACGTGCTTTTATGGATGGGTATGTACTTAATGACAATTATTTCTCTGAATCTTACAGCACGATGTCAATGGGAAAGCATATTATGTGATTGAATTCATTGCACAAGCTCCAAACTACAGTCGCCATGCTCTTAGTGCAATCTGTGTTGGCAACGGTATGAATCTCGCTTTTGGTCTGGACAATATTTCATGTGCTTGGGCTATTCCATGAAGAAAAAGGTCTTTGAAATGCTCATGAGATTTGAGATTCGAAATAAAAGAGGACTGTCATTTTCTTCACATTTCATTAACGGAGCATTTTCTCAGTTTGTTCCAAGTGGTAAACGAGTTCTTGTTAATTCTTCCTTAGATCCAAACACAGCATAGTAATAGAAGAGGTGATATGTTTCGCACGTTAAGTTGGATGGTACTGGAGTTAAGAATGAACAGTAAAGTTAAAATAATCTTGTCCTCTATAATATGTAGTACTATCTAACACCAAATAAATTAACTTAGGGATAAAAATTGTGAATTATGGTCTCAGTAATATTACTGCTTTAATTATGACTATCTTTCAGGACACCTGCATGGCTGCATTAATGCTGATAAACAAGGTGTCTTTTCTTTTCTTTTCTTTTTTTGGGGTATTTTTCAGCAGAGAATTCCTGTGAGCTGTTTATGCTTCAGTACCATTCTTAGGATTTTTGTTTCTTTTCATTTCTAAATATATATGGCTTAAAAATATGATAAAATTCTGGATTTGATTTTTACTTTTTTAGTAATGATAAGGAGAGGAAAACAGTTCGCACAGATTTTGCTTTCAGTCTCCATCTTCCTTTGCGAAGATCAAAAACTGAAGGGTCGTCATGATCAATAAATAACCTCATGATGATTGAAACGGCTTCTACGTCTTCTCCACCCCCCAGTTCTCGTATTTATGTGGATTAGGCAGGGATAACTGGATGTAGCATTGGACATTACAAGGAAAAAAATAGGCCATAATCTTGCTAATTGTGCTGTTGAGTCCTATAGAGTACTGCATACTGAACATGCACTATATGTTCAACTCAGAGTTAAATGTGGTTTTGCAGGAAAGTTCTACACTTTGACAACAGGAGCCAATGAGAGGCGATGGGAGAAAATGAAAGATAGATTGAAAACTGTGGTTGATTCCTTCCAAATCTTCAATGTCTGAAATATATTTTTAAAAAAAAAAAAAAAAAAAAAAAAACTCGTGAGATTATGTTGGAAAATAGCTTGTATACAGGCTACCTATGATAGAATTTTGAGTGGGATCTGTTCCTTCGTTTTGGAAGATCTCCGTGAGCACTTTGACATTATATATTTACTTTCCAGAAATGATCATTGCGTGAATGAGTAATTGAGGTTCAAAATGTACTAATTGGAAGAAGTTTGCTTGTTGGAGGAAAAAATAATTGAAGTTTGTCCCACGTTGAAAATGGACAAGGCACAAATCATGAATTATTAATCCTTTTCAACTTCAAATTTGCAACTCCTGAAACTCTAATGGTTAAAGTCATTGTCAATGGGTTGTAAATGTCGTTTTAATGGATGAAATAATTCCCCATTCATGATCCTGTAAGAGATTGAAATTTTCTTTGTTCCCCACACGAATTTTCTATCTCGGTCTGTATAAACATTTTTCAATTTTCTGTCGACCAATATTTTCAGTTTATATCTAAAGTCTTGGTAATCGTGTTCATATATGGATTTAGTTCGCCAGTATATAAACATAATGCTTAGTTTCTACTATTTTTCAATTGTATCTTCGAAGACAAACGCTAACGAAACTTCATGCACTGACGATGAGAGGGTGAATTTGTTACTACTGGAGTTGAAGCTCCCACCACAGGAGAGGGGTTGGCTCGTATGCTACGCTGTATTTCGTAAGTTATGGCTTCTCGAGCATACACTTCTGTTAGCTCTACTTAAGGCCTTCTAACTCGACAATTATTTGTATAGCATTGACACAACAATGTGTCACGTCGAGTAATGAATTAATGAGAATCAATGATAATAATATAACTAAGTGAAAAATATATGAATCCAATCACTTAGGCTATACATCAAAACAATTAATCATTAGGATCCCAAATCACAGTGTTTAAAGTAAGTAGCACATCATGATGATTTTGTGGGACGCTGACATATATTTTTTTGGCTGCTGGCTGTAATGGATACAACTGGGAAGCAATTATTGCTTCATGAGTGGAAGCATGCCATATACTTTGGTATATATGCATGTAATCATGATCTTCAACTATTTTCTCTTTGCAATCAGTTTCAAATTCGAATAAAGGATGAGGGTTAAAATAATTCGACAATAAATTTCAATCTTCATCAATTTTATGAAATGAATCTATTAACGCATTTTGTTGAAACAGTCTACTAACAACGTACTACATCAAATTCCCAATCAATTTCAATCTTTATCAATTTTATGTAATAAATCTATTAACACATTTTGTTGAGACGGTCTACTAACAACGTACTACATCAAATTGCGAATTTCATGTAATCTATCTATAGTTTATTGAGAACAGAGACTTAGCCCCTAATTGATCCCCATTTTTTAAAATTCATTTTCAACTATACATTTTTATGGAGTTCACGACTTTTATTAACTTGTTAACCACACAATTAATCAACTTTTATCATAATCTGCTGAAATTTGATTTTAATATAAATCAAATAGGGGTTTAATTTGTTGTAGTTGCATCTATTCGTGCATACCATAAAGCGAAGTACAAGGTGGAGGGGGTATTTCTAGGGGGCTACTAAGAATCTAAAAATATTGAGGGCAAAACATCATTTGTTTTTGAATGCTTTTCATTTAGAACATATGCCCTAGCATCCCTACAACAAAAGTTAGCTAGCATTTTCCCTATGTGTTATAATACCATGTTGAAGCTAGCAAGCATCAACAAGAGAGTATCATAATCACAGGCATGATTGTGAAATCAACATCACTGTCCTAATCATTTGTTATCTTCATCAACAATCTACTTACTTGGCCCATATTCTGCATCAGTCCTTTATAGAACCCTTATGTCCTTTTTGTAAGATGAGTTGCACATGTAGGGGATGTTTGGTATAATGTATTCGACTGTTGTGTGCAATATAGTATACGATTATAATTTTTCTTCACTTCCTAATAATATGCAGTTCAATCTAATTCATCTTATCAAACACGTCAATTTTAAAAAATAATCTAGTCTTATCTAATAGAGTGTACCAAACGTGAGATCATTGTATATGCTTTCAATATAGTGGATGTTTGGTATCTAGTATCAAAAAATAAACGTGATTTCTTACTTCATATTCAATTCTCAATATTGGAAAGTATTGTGTAATCCACATTACTGAAATATCGATTTGTATTATCCAATCTTGTTTAATATGTAACAAGCATAAAATCACAGCATATTCTTAGCATATAGAGAATGTTTCATATAACATACAAGACTATTCTTACAATAAAATAAATAAGATTTTAATTTACTTTTCCTTCTTAATATTGCACGGTACCCAACTAAAAGTGCATGTCGATTTGTATCTTCGAATCTTAATTGATATTGTATATCAAATTGACAACTTTTGGATATGCTTTTGTGCAATGGGTATATATGATTCATAAGGCTCTTTAAAAGGCTCTAAACCTTTTTAAGATTGTTTATGTGCAAGCTGTGGCCAAAATTAGGGTCTAATGATGGCAGCCGCCTCCTCCATGATCACTATTATGCTTGTCATCTTCACACATTTATAATTTATTATATATGTAAATAAATATTTGTGAATTCTTTGATTAGAATCCTTTTTGTGTAATTCTGATTCTCGGATACAAGTTTAGGCACTACTAACTTATTCTATTTAGAGAGAGAGAGAGAGAGAGAGAGAGAGAGATTTTCTGTAAAAAAAATTAATTTTGCATGAACCCTAAAATAAATTATTCATGCCAACTCATATCAATCTTGATATTGTTTCAAAAAAATAAATAAATTAAAGGTTGAAGAATCGAATCAAAGTCGAAAGGGAGTTCAATTTCAAATATTATTTCACTCTAAAGGATGATTAGGGGTAGACACAGACATTTTGAGTTAGTGAGCACAATTAAACTTTGTACAAATCGAATATTTTGTTCTTGATTTTTAAATAATTCATACTTGACTTTAGAAAATGTAGATTTACATTTAAAAAATATTTCTTTATTAATATTTTGCTCATGATTTTCATCAATTTGATTTTGAATAGTCATTTTATTAATATTTTGTTCATCACAAGAAAATGTATTTTACGTTTAAAAAATTTATAGTGTATTTGATACAAACAATCAATTCAAGTAATTGAAAGAAAAAATATATAACCAATATTCAATATTAATAATCAATCAAATAAACATAATTTATTAAGTATAAGTTAAATTGGATATAATCAATTCAGACACATTTTATATACACAAATAGGATAGGAGAAAAATGCAAATTTAGATTCTAATTAATTTAAAATTTGATTGAAAAGTGAAAATTTATAGTAGATGTAATAATTTGTAAAGAAATTATAGAAAATTCAAAAAAAATTAGAAGGGTTAAGGCTTTCGTAAAAGGCTTGAGGGAAAGAGTAAGATAGAGCAATAGAAAGGAGAAAAAATTCAAATTTATTTTGATTTTGCCTCTATTTGGTGCGGATTAAAATCAGACTTTTAGTAAATTCTAATAAAAGTTAAAAAAAAGTTAAGAATTCCATGAAATATATTATTAAAATTAATTGTTACCTTTGGTTTAAATTAAAATTTAAATTTCAGTCAATACCAAATAGGACTTTAAAGGAAAAACTCAAAAGTTGGGCGGTCACATGAACCCGCCAGTGAGGATGACATATTTGGTATATATGCAATATTGATACAACTCAACATTACAATGAGCAAGATTATAATATTTTTCTTCTTGCTTATACTTTCCCATCTCGTACAATTTACTTTAAACTTGATGCTCGTTTGATAATACTAGTGGATCTCTTAAAATATATAAATAAAAAATGATTTGAGTGTTTATAAAAAAGAGCCATTTGATTGTATTTTATTTACTCTTTTAAAAAAAAAAAAATTGCATTTCATTGGTATCATAAATCCTTAATTTTAGAATTTTTTTTTGGCTACTTCTTATTTGAGAATTTGGAGTAATTAGCCACAAGCTTATAGATAGGGTAGTTATATTCGAAATCAGTGGCAAATCTTGGAATTTATAAAGGGGAAGAAAGAAGTATAGTACAAAATTTAAAACCATATTGGTCTTCATTGGAATAATATCTCTTTTTGGTCCATTTTATTACATTCCTTTGCCAATTCAGTGGAATATAAAAGATGCCCATTAAATGATTGTTAGTTCTTTTGTATTTTTTATTTTTTATTTTTGAAACGGAAGGAGCCATGCTATGATCGTGTGCCTGTTAACAATAAGTTGATGACTCGTAAAGAACACTGTAATCTTATTTATGTCGGTTTGTCTATACAAGAAAAACCCGCAAATACTCAACCTGTGGCTAGAATGAAAAAACCTTAGATTCTCATTCTTTAACTTTCTAATTCGATTCCTCTCAATGGAAAGTACATTTGTGGCATAGTTACCTCCGTGTTCTAAAGGAGAATCTATAAAATGGCTTGATATCTTCGTTAGCATGACATGTCTTGCTCACATTAATTAGGGTTATCTTTAAATTTTGGAGTACCATTGTTATCTAGCTTGTGTGAAGTCGATTTTTTGAGAAGTGATTTTTAAAAGAATATGAGATTCAAAAGTAGGAGAAATTTATGAAGAGAAGTGAAAAATGAATTTTTGGAATGTGGGTTACAATAAGTGTGCAAAAAAATGATTTTAAAAAAAATCAAACAAGAGCTTAATTGATTCCATTCTAATTTAGCACAAAGACTTATCAATATTAATCAAATATGTTTCCATATAATTATTCTTAGTTTCAAATATCTCATCAATCCGTCTCGGATGATACACATTCTTGTTTGCGAACAAATTAATATAGGATAGAAATGAGTACCTGCTACACGTAATGGGGCCTTTCACATAAATTTTTATTTTGTCCTTATAATTTTATATTTATGGTTAATAATGCCCTTGACATTCAATTTTTTTCAAATCATAATTATGGTTAGAAGTGGACGTGGTTCGATTCGGTCTAATTCCAAAGGGAATCAAATCGAACCGAATACCAATGAAAATTTTATAAATGGAACCATTTGTTCCATAGCTAACTATGGAACCGAACCGAACCGAACCAATCGATTCTAGTTCGATCCGGTCCAGTTCTTTATATTGAAAATGTCAAAATAAAATGTTCACTAAAAAAAAATCTAAAAATGCTACCAACGTGATACTTTTAACAAAATATAAAAGAACCGAACATACTATTCAAAGATTAAAAGAAAACT